CCCTGATAATAAAACTCACCATGGAGGAGCAAATTATACAGAAGCGCTGGAAAACAGAGAAGCTGAAGCTGCTAGATGGGTTCCTTACAAAGGTCGATGGGGACCCGGGCACGCCTATCTCAACCGTTGACAAACCATCTGCAATGAGTAAAGGAAGTGTGGACCGTTGTCGAGATTCCGGAGCTACATCCCGACCATTTCGAAAGCGAATTGATTATATCTCGGACCGTAAACTTAAACACGCTAGACGAGCGAGAGGTCAAGAAGGATCTCTATCGGAGATGCAACGCAACCTCGAGAAGAAGCCTGATGTTAGCAATGAAGTTTTTCAGATAGACTTGCATAAAAGCGATTTCACTTCTGTAAGTATCTTTTGGTGGAAAATAATATGTTTAACCTCTTATTCACTTATTCCTTAGCTTAACATTCCTATACGAAGAGTAAATCCCCTGAGACTGTACTTTGCTATAGGAGCTTAAGGAATATACACGGGCGTCTTTCTAGACATAAGCAGAGCATTYAATAAAGTCTACAATGGTGTATCGTTMTGGTACAGAAGGGATAGAGCCAGCTATCATCGYATCGCTCTACTAAGCTGCAGACGGATTAATGCATAATTGAACGAAACCAGATGTCGCCAACAAAAGGGTGTACTGTCGCCTCTCCTGTGGTTACTTGTAGCAAACAAACTTCTGAGAAAATTTGAAGGAACAGCCCCCAGACTGATAGCGTACGCAAACGACACAGCTGAACTAGTGAAGGRCGAGGTCGTAGACAAAATTAGTAGCCTGATGAATAACGTTCAGTCATAAACCTATGAGCAGTTTTTGACAGAAATACAGTACGGAAAACCGTTGGAGCGAATGCAATGGCCTGCTACTCTCTGCATAGCGGGAGCACTAAGAATCCMTCCAATGGATACACTTGAAAGGTTACTCAACCTACCGCCAATTGACATTGTAGTTGAAATCAGCTGCAATATTGGTGGCACTAGGTGAGTTTTCCACAAGAACCTTCCGACTTAGCTCGATATCGGTGGATAAAATGGACCACGTACCTTTAAGTTTTATCTGGGAGAGAAGGTTTGAAGTCATCCTAAGAGGCCCAGGGGCACGCGAATCACCGAACTTTAACATATACACCTACGGATCAGAAATTACTAATGGAGTGGGCGCCGTGATCTATTCCGCGGAGCAATCTTTCAAGCTGCCGGAGTATTGCAGTATCTTCCAGGCAGAAGTCTTTGCGGTTAAGAATACTGCTGAGTTAGCTTACAACGCAGGAAATTACATAAAGAATATCAACACATACGTTGATTRGCAAGCAGTAATTAAAGCAATAATATTATATCGAATTGCATCAGAGAATGACCTTAAAAGCAGAGAGGCTGTAATTATAGTGTCTGTTGCAAAGCGGCTCTATATATACAGGTTCCAGGTCACGAGGGCCATCCGCTTGACTACCGAACTAGTTCAGGAACAACGCAAATCGTTGAAAGGTACACATTTTCCAATTTTCGAAAAGGCTGACAAACGGATAAAGGAGATGGAATCACTAAATGATATATATTCAAGATTTAAGTTCTGTAGAATGCAGTCCTGCGTGTAATTAGTAAGGACACAAACCAATACCAGTCAGCTGATTGCTGGATGATCCATATGATTGAAGTACAAAAGCCTTTAGCTTGGCTGCTACGGAGTTGCTGTACACACAAATATCTATTCGACTATGTCGGATATGTGGCGCTAGTGGAGGTGGTATTTCTGTGGCGAATTAAGTGGACATGCGATTAGATCCAATTAAGATTCCTCTTTTTAATGGTGATCTAGCGAGTTGGCTGTTCTTCAAAGATTTGTTCGAGGCACTAGTTCATAATCGTAAGGATCTGGATTCCAGTTATAAATTAAGCAAGTTACGCCAACATGTCAATGCAGACAGCGTACCCATGGTCGGTGGATTTTATACAGGCGGCTATGAAGACATGTGGCAGGAGATGAAACGGCAGTTTGATAATTCCCGCTTGTTAGTGGAATCCCATGTGCTGAGTAGCTGAGTATCGACTAGTTGACACCGTCCAAAATGTGATGCGAGCTTTAAGCGTTATGGATCTTCCGGTAAGACATTGAGACGCCCTCTTGGTGCCACTTCTGCTACCTAAATTGCCCACAATAACCAGGTATGAGTGGGGGATGAGCCTTCAGACGAACAACATACCAATGTATCAGGACTTTTTGACATTTGTTGAGAAGCGTGCCAACAATTTGCCTCAAGGGGCTACGRACGGTACAACAACTCTTCATCAAAGACCAACCCGTCGCGTTAAGGCTAACGTTGCAACGGTAAACTCATCTCAGCCGTTACATTCAGTGAAAGGGGTTACGATTGTTTGCCAACTTTGCGCTAACGGACACCGAATACACAAGTGTCAACGTTTCGTTAATCTTTCCTTACCGGAACGGTGGGATAYAGTTAGGAGTCTCTCATTATGTTTCAACTCCCTTGGAAGTGACCGTGGATCTCGTGATTGTACATCGCGGGATTGCTTAAAGGGCCAGCATCGTCATCATACGATGCTCTGCAAATTCAACGCTTCGAACAATTCGCCGACTATGGAGGAAGACACCAACAGTCACATAACCAATCGGAATACATCCATGGGCACACTTTCAACACAGGTGCCACAGGTATACCCACGACARCAGTGCCATTTGAGGAAGGTCGGGTCATTTCTCATTAATGGAGACCGGACCATTGTACTGGCGACTGCGAAGGTCATCCTGACTGATCACAATGGAGGACAATTCGCGTGTCGTGCTCTTTGCGACCTGGGCTCTCAGGTGAGTCGGATTACCGATGTCACTACAAAACGTATGTGTCTTCGTAGGCGTGCAGGGGAGATACGAACTGGAGAATTGGTTCTAGCGCTGCAGTCTACAGTAAGGGTCATATAACAGTATAGGTGCAGGCTGCCTTCGACAACAACGTTATCTTTAAACTCGAAGCTTATGTCGTGCCGACAACAACCTCCGTAACGCCAGATACGCATATAGACGAAGACGCTTGGAGCCATTTAAAAGATTTGTCGTTAGCCGACCCAATGTTTRCCGCTCCCAGTCCGGTGTATCAGCTACTTGGTGCTGACGTACTAACGGGTCTCTTTCAGGAGCGTTTCATCCAGGGTTCTCCAGAGCAACTTTGCGCTTTAAACACTCATCTTGGTTGGGTAGTATTTGGACCAGTTCCAAGTTCTGCTCACTCCACTTTACACACATCTCTTACTGCGAAATGCGTCAACGAAAAACGACTAGACACGCTRATTAGAAGCTTCGCGCGGCGGCTGATGAACGCATTTATGCGAGAATACATTGCTCTCGATCACATGGAAGTTAGCAAGCAAACTTTCACCCACAAAGAAAATGGTTTCTTCATACCACATCATGCGGTAACCACAAAATTCCGCGTAGTTTTCAACGCATCAGCGAAGACAYCGAATAGGACATCAACAGGAGTGCAAGCCGAGTAGAACCTTCCTTGTGTTTGATGGCGTACGTTTTTTGCTACACAGGCGGGTGCGAATCTTGGCTGCAATAAGATAGTGGTCCGAGTCGATTTTAGGACCTCGGAGCGAGCGGACATCTAAAACACTGGAGATGATTCTTCCGTCTATCACAACGTGATCAATATGGTTGGTGGTTTTTCTATCCGGAGACAGCCAGGTAGCTTGATGTATCTTCTTATGCTGGAATCTAGTACTAYAGATAACCATATTTCGGGTCCCGGTGAAGTCGATCAGCCTCAACCCATTTGGGGATGTTTCCTCGTGGMGGCTGAATTTACCGACCGTAGTGCCAAAGATACCTTCTTTGCTCACCCTGGCGTTAAAGTYGCCAAGCACGATTTTGACATCGTGGGCAACTCTCATAAGTGCGTTCCCAGCACTCATAAAAGGCATCTTTGGTCACATCGTCCTTCTTATCCGTCGGGGCGTGGGCGCAAATCAGCGATATGTTGAAGAACTCCGCTTTGATGCTAATTTTGGCTAGGTGTTCATTCACCGGAGTGAACAATAGTACTCGGCGACGGAGTCTCTCTCCCACCATGAATCCACACCAAACTTACACTCCTTTATATGGCCACTGTAGTAAATGCCACAAGGACTTACTCGTCTCTGTCCTTGTCCCGTCCATCGCATTTCTTGGACGGCGGTGATGTCAGCCATTATTTTCACGAGGACATCAACCAGCTGGGCATCGGGACCTTCCCAATTAAGGGACCGGACATTCCAGGTGCATGCCCTCAAATCATAGTCCTTAATTCGTTTCCATGGTCATCATCAAAAGGGGGGTCTCTCATCCGAAGCTGTTGAAAATTTTTCATTAGGGCTGTTTTTTTTTACGTGGCGGGTCCCAAACCCAACGCACAACCCTATGTAGGGGAATGTTTCGCTTTCTCACTTTAGCTCGCCTTCAAACGGATATTCTTAGGCCACCGAGAGGACACTTGGTCAAAGACCGGAAGTCGTGAGCTGCTTGAGTCATTTGTAAAAGAATCGTTTCTGGCCACTCCCAAGTGGAAGGCGATCAGATCCACATAGCCTTACTTAAAAAGTCGAATATCTCGAGAAGTATTAATGATAGCGATTTTTCCTACATTTTTTCTATAGCTCTTGTCATTTACGAGATATATACAAAAAAGTGTGAATTACATGGAAAAATCAGGTCAGATACCACTTCCCGGATCTCCAAAAGGCCTGATACCACCGAAACACCCCACTTCTTGCAACCTCAACGAAGTCGCGGCAGAAGAAAATCAATCCTATTATTTTCCGGACAAACCCTGTATACACCATTGCCAGTACAGACACTGACGACATGATGCAAGGTGCAAGTGATATAAAAAGTTTTCACCACTTCATTAACGAAGTTAAAAAGTTCTGTTTTTATATAGGCGAGCTGACAAAACTTCTTATGGTCAAATATTTCCAAGAGCCATGAGCATAAAATCCAGGGAGAAGAAAGTGATCTCTTTTACGAGAATAATATTGCTTTAAATTGAGACGACTCAAACAATGTCTAAAAGAAAATTTTTTAGATACAAGATGAGTCGCAACTTTTGCAAAAACTATATAATCGGACTCATACTGACAGATCCATACGCCAATTTCATTATGATATAAAAATCATTTAGATTACACTCTGTGACTATATTCGGGCACATAGGTCAGATCAAAATATCATAAAATCAGCAAAAGGACGTTATATGCAGAACTGTCTGAGAAAATTCATAACAAGTGTCAAAAATTCTTTAGGCATGCATCTTAGAACAATGTAAGCTGATTCACTTAATTTGGCTCTACTACACATTGTATTCAGGAACAAGATCTATTTTAAAACAGCGCTTGACAAATTAACAAAAAGATAACCAGATTACACAACAATCTTCACATACTAATGACCTGGGGGAAAAATTAATATTTATGTAAATAAACACGGTACAAAACTTTTTTATGGCTTAGTAGATTTGGACGGCAATAAATCACCTAAGTTCTTAGTTGATACTGAAGCAACAACATCTTTTATAGATGCAGAATTTGTTCCAACGGAACTAAGGAATAATCGCGTAAATCTTGTATTTCAATAATGCTCAATAGTCATATACTCAAAAAAAAAATCATCAATTCCTATATTTGAATTATATTGGCATGATACGAACTTTGACTTGCTACTATTACAATATATTGCGTAGTCCA